ACCATCCTTCTTCAGGGAATTTGCCTTATTTCGTTGCACAAAACACCTGAAGATACTTTACGACATTATGTAGTACTTCGTATTACGTTATTATTTTTTAATTATTTTGTTTTTCTCTATTCACCTTCATTTTAAACCCATCAGCGGCCGAGTGGTAAAGACGCTGAACACTGGTAGTTCGGTTCGAGGTTCGAATCCCGCGAACGGGCTGGCTGCATGGGCGTTTTCGTGGTTTTCCCCATGTGTAACGTGTATACGAGCCAGTTTCCCTTAGAAAGTCCTCCACGAAGGCATCCCTTCCTTTAGGCAGATAGCACTCGTGTGCTTTGCCATAATTGAATAACACAACCCCCTTCATTTTAATATTTTTTTTTTCCGATTTTCTCCCTTTTTGCTTTGAAGTATCAAATTCTGATTGTTCCAAAAAATGTTTAGATATTATACGTACTACTATATAAAAAAATAGGTAAGATAAAATACCAACTTTAATTTGCAATAGTCCCTTAACTCTCTATTTTAATATGGTTAAAGTTGAAAACGACCTAACTTTATGATCTTTTACGATGGTGAAGACGAAAGTTACCCTGAATAAACATTTTAAAATATAATTTTCTAAGCTACTTACAGGACATTTTAGCCAACTTTAAGAGGAAATTAATCAACACTTACATGCAAAAACGCTAATGAAAGTGTTTCATAAGGCACTGAAATATTTTTAATTAATAATTATATGGACATCAGATATGTACACTAAGCATTTTTATGAGTGCTGAAATCTATAAAAATTGTTGAGAGGACGCCGTATGACAGATCAACAAATATAAATCGCATATGACTACTCTAAGCATCTACTACAGTTACATATCAGGAACTGAGCATTTCTTTTAAAATTTAAAAAGAAAAAAGCATCGATATACCCTGAAAATAAACTTCGATGAGAAGTTTGATAGTTTAATTTTCTTATCCTCTAAGTGTATATTCAGGCTGAATTTTTAAATGCAATTACAGCGTAATTCAGGTGACGTGATATTTGGCGGCATTGTCATAAAATTAAAAAATTACATTCAATGACATTGCTTATGAATGATATAAAGATTCATCATTAAATGCAGAAAGCATCATCTATACTGACAATACAGAAAGCGAAAAAAGAAAAACAGCAAATTATAAGTCATTTTCCCTAGTTAGATTATACAAACGATTCTTAAATTTTGGCCTTGAGGGGTCTTTGAGTCAATAGTGAAGAAACCATGAAGGGTTAAAATTTGATTATTTAATTTAATCCCTAGAAATGCAATAAAAATGTTATACATTCTGATAGGTTATATAGGACAATCTGTCAAAATGGATGTCAATAAGTGAAAAGTCATCGAACTTTAAGAACCGCTGAATTAGACACAAGTGTCTATAGTACCACTTTTAGATGTAATGTAACGTAATATACTAGTGTGCTGCAACCCTCCTGGCTGATAATAATCGGCCTCGTGGTTAACGCATTTTTAGATGCATCTGTTAATCGAGTAACCAAAATCTAAATCGTGAATCAAGACTTAGATTTGGCCGATTGATCATGTAATCACAACTCTTGATTACGTAAATGTTCTAAAATATTTTAAGAATGAATAAATATTTTTCAAAACACACTTTACGTAAGGTTTAGGCTCCACTCCTCTTAAAGGTTTCTTCTATTTGACGAGGTTCTCATTAAATTTCTAATGTGGTCAGTTTTCATGTTTATGTGTGGTCACGAAGGAAATCCGCAGTTTTAACTTCTAATAATGAAAACTATCGATTTCAACTGTACTCTAACCGCCTTTTCTCGATATTATTCTACTATTTCAAACTCTGATTCAAATTTTTATCATCTATTATAGTATCTAAATAAGCCCCTGTGGACCAATTCTAGTATTTCTGCCTGCTTTGTTAACAAGCAAAAACACATTTCTATTTCTTCATAATCAATCAGTTTCTAACTAGTAATTAGCTCTGAAAATCTCCCTCTTACCTTTGACAAGTTAAGACTTCATCTCGTTAATCCTAGCGTAGACATCATTTCAGTAAAGGTTTGCATCCACATCCAGGCGCTTCTGTAAGAACTGATCCATGGCCAGTAGAAGCTGGTCCTCAAATCCGATCAAATATTTCAAGAAATTTGCTCCATTCGAAAAGTCCACTTCATCATAAACATGAATAGAAAGTAACAGAATCCAAATATTGTCATGCCGCTATCTAATCGACATCCACTTAGTGTCAAGATCCAAAATATTGTCCTCGAAATCCAATTCATTATCCGAAATTGAAACGCATTCACCGTAATCCATTATGCATACAAACTAAAAAACACTCTGCAAGCACGTGCTTGCTCGAAGCGTAGCACACGCCGGTGAGAAGGACAATAACATCTAACTTTACAACAATAATATATCCTCTGTTCCTTTTAATACATCAATGAAAGTTAACTAACTGTATCAATTAGAAAACTTTAAAAATTCAATCCATTTAAGATAATTCAGCACAAAGTAAAAACTGAGTTCGTCCTTTCCTTTTAAGCTACACATTTATGAAAGGACATTTTCTGCAATGTGAATAATAGAACCCTCTTGCAAATAAAAATACCTTTCAAGCTAATCATTCTACCAATATAGTTTTCTAAAAAATTAATTATTCACGTTCTTGAAATTTATCCAGTCTTTTTTCCTACTTTTTTTTACTCCGAATAAGGCGTATTAAAAGATGTATGCAACATATAGGCGATAATGATGTCACGCAAAGAAAAAAAAGCGTTTAACACTGTCTTTTCGAAAGACATTTTGTGCAATCCAATGCGTCGAATTATATTTTGCCAGACTAAGCAATTGCTCCAACAAATGGCGGGTCAAACAAAGTCTCGATGGATGCATCTTACAAACAAATTGAAGAAAATGAATTACACGGAAAATAAAAATTCATCACCAGGAGCATCTGCCAGTTTTTGATCTCTCATTTTATAGAAATCAGAAAAACTGTTATGTTTCGTTCAATAGTTTATCTATTTCTCGTCCGCTCATTCGCTTAAAGACGTAATTCAAGCGCTTCCTGATGATTTGAGGAAATCCATAAATTTATATGTTACAAATTCAAATCTCGAATATGTGCTCATGTATAAAGTTATCCAAAGGTATCCTTATATTTCAAATTTATGTTGAATTTGTATACTTAATGTTACATTCCAACTCATAGTTTTTTTTCACTCTCTCTCAACTAGACTTTGACTGTTATGTAACTGGTCCCCCATTCTTTTTATTTTCCCCCAACCTTACCTCTCTTCAGCTTTACCAAACACACTCATTACACACACCTCTGAGACACTATTTAAAGTAAATGTACGTAGGGGAGTCAACTGAAAACGATAAAAGTAGAAATAAAAATCCGCATATGGCGCCAGTGAGCTGTAAGTTGGCATGCCTGTTTGCGATAGTATGCCGGATGTCTCCTAGGTGGCAGCAGCCGGCAGATGCACAAACACCAGCGCAACAACAGTTCCAAAATGGCAGCCCCACTACCCACATGCACCAGCGAGGAGCAGCGTTCTGTGATTCGGTTTTTGCGAAGTAAAGGTGGGAAACCGATTGACATTTTTATGCGAATGAAGGTTCAGTAGGGAGATGCGTGTTTGTCACAGCCACAAATCTATGAATGGTGCCGGAAATTTGCAAATGGTGTTACGTCCGTGGACGATGCTCCACACCCCGGCCAGGCTCGCCGCGTAGTGACTCCAGAGACCATTTAAGCCGTTGAAGCCATCGTTTTGGAAAACCACCGTGTGACAATAGACGAAATTGCAGCATGTGTACACATGAGTCATGGATCGACACATCATATTGTGCATGATGTTCTCCAGCTTCATAAGGTGTCTGCAAGATAGGTGCCCCGACAACTGACGCCTGAACTGAAACAGCGACGTGTTGATGCGTGCGAAGACCTTTTGTGGCGTGCTGAACGTGACGGTAATGCCTTCCTGTCACGAATCGTCACTGGTGACGAAACATGGGTGCATTACCATCAGCCTGAAACAAAGCGAGCGAGCAAGGAGTGGCGCCACTCCTCATCACCGAAAGTTTCGGACACAGCCGTCTGCAGGGAAGGTTATGTTGACCCTCTTTTGGGACGAAAAGGGCATCATCTTGGAACACTACACGCCACGAGGAACCTCTGTGACGAGTGCTACGTACTCGGACCTCCTAAAAAATCATCTCCGGCCTGCCATCAAAACGAAACGACGTCAACCGGAAAGGATTGCTGTCAGCCGGTGTGCTGCTGCAACACGACAATGCACGGCCCCATACGGCGCGTGCAACGGTTGCGACCATCACAGACCAGAAATTTGAATGCCTCTCACATCCCCCTTACTCGCCAGACCTCGCACCGAGCGATTTCCATCTGTTTGGTCCGCTCAAAGAAGCAATGGGCGGCAGGAAGTTCCACTCCGATGAAGAGGTACGCAACGCGGTGCACGAGTGGTTGCGCCGTCGCCCAAAAGACTTTTTTTCTGCAGGTATTCAGGCTCTTCCGAAGCGCTGGCGGACTTGCATTGAACGAGGAGGGGACTATGTTGAAAAGTGATTTACTTCTGTACCCTGTGTGACCAATAAATAATATTAAAATAAATAATTATGGTTTTCATTTGACTCCCCCTCGTACACAGCCTCCTCCCCATTTGACTACACGCATGGACTAAATCGTATTTTTAGGAAATTTTCTACTTCTTTTCCTTTTCTTTCTATAGGCCCTTTTTCATTTTTTTCCTACATTACTTTGGGCCATTTATTTTAATTTTATTTTGTCTCATTTTTTCTTCCTTGCCTTTTGAACTCGTATAAAGAGCACGAAGCTCCTTTTTTCTCTCCTCTGAAACACGAAATTGCCCGTTTTCTATCTACCTTTCCTTCGCACCTAAGCTTGGTTTTTCGCCCATCGGAGCAGAAAGACTTAGCGGGTGCAAAACAAGACATCTGTCTATTTTGCCTGTCTGTCTGAAATCCAAAAATAGGTCAAATTTGCCAATAGTTCCGTATTACGACTTTACCTTGTTTATAACCGTATATCGCGATTTGATCGGTTGTTTCGGTAGGAGGGTTGTGTTGAAGTTTTGAATTGAATAAGTTGTTTACTGTTTTATAAGTTATCCGAAAGCGTATTTTTTTTTTTTTTTTTTTTTTTTTTTTTGCAGTCCTTCAATTCAGATTGTCATGCCATTTGAATTCATAAAGCTCGCGGCCGCGTTCGTCTTATTTTAGTATAATAGCTTCTAACTATTAAGTTCTGCTTGTTTACCATTCAGTAAGGTAAGTTCATTTATTTCTGCATGAATAGTTTTATTTATTTTCACTTCACGATACTTTTCACAGAAAATTGTGATTAATATGTATATCATTGACTGAAAGTAAGTTGTTTATTTTGTATGCTTCCGATTCCTGCTCATGTATCGCACTGTACAAACTTCGATGTTATCTGAGATTTGCATCATTCTAATTTTTCTTTGAATTTTTTCCTTTATTAAAAATTTAAAACAGCGTTATCATTGTAAGTTGCGGCAGGTAACGAAATGGAAGGTAATCGTTAACTTTTATTATTGTAATAGTCTTATAATTTTATTGTATGCTATAAGTCTTATAATTTTGCATTTTTATTTTAAATTAGATTTGCGGAAGGAAAATATCATGGCTGCAGATCGGATAAAAACTATATACCGTCATTTAAATCCTGAAGTTCAGCCTGTCACAGAAATGTATGCCTTTGGAGTACAAAATCCAATCAAGGTAAATTTAAGTAGAACCGCTTTGTAATATAAACTGTTTATGCTTGTATATACATAGCTTGGTAAAATCCTAGTATACGGTGCATTATATACTTTCACTATATGGTTTAATCCTAGTATCAGGTGCACAAGGAATTTGGCTACTTTGGGCGGCTTTATGATGAGCAGTAAACGCAACATATACGATGAGTAGTTAAACGGGTCATTTTGGTGTTGGCGATAATTTTCAAAATCGCGTCAAGGCTGCACCGTATACTATATATATAGGATTTTACCCATAGCTTTCCATAATTTTTTGTACCAAAAAATGTTTTTAAAACATTTTTTATTTTTCAGTGATAAGTATATTTTCATTGATTTCATTTTATGTCACTCAGTGCAGGTTTATCCATTGGGCACCCAGGGGCCCAGCTATGCTGTACCGAACAAAAATTTCTGGTTATAAATTTCAATAGTTGAAGATAAAATTTCTTTAGAGAAATTGTAAATGATTTTGCGAAAATAATCTGCGCCTCTCACCTGCACGTCCATGTCCGTATTGTTTGTCGATATCTAGGCCGGCACGGCACCAGCTGATAAGAGTGGGGTGACAACTATAATGTGCCTTACATCAAGAAGCAGGCAGATGAATTAGAATACAGACAGTACCTTACCAAATATATAACACGACGGAAACATTATAAATAAATAATGGAGTGCAGACTGCTGGACAAATAAAACGATAGATTTATTGTACTGATTACAGCATAGCAGGGAATAAGGTAAATTATTATTAGTAGTACTAGCAAGAATACAAGAATTGTTACCTAATGCTATTTATGTGCCATGTTTAAATCATTCATTAAATTTTGCAGTTATCTTTGCATGCGCATCTAGCTTGAAACTAAATCACTATTTTACAACTGTTTAAAGTATTTATGTATTCTTTTTAGCTTCCCCTCAAAGATGGAACTTACTGCAAAGCTTTAAATGCTCCATAAGACGATTGGTTGAAACTAGATGGTCTGCCCAATTTGAAGCAGTAAATGCTTTGCATAAAAATTATTTTTTATCAATTAAGCAATAAATACTAGAAACCTGCAGTTAGAAACAAAGCGAAGGCTCTGCACAATAAATTGGACATCTTCGAAACAGCTCTGTTCCTTGGAAACATCAAATTTGGACAGGGATTTTGGAACAAGCGAATGCAACCACCAAAACTTAACAAACCGTTGACTTGAAAATATCATTTGGAGTATAACTGATGATGTCTCTGTTGACCTTTGTTGCAGAAATAAGAGAACACTTTAACAAAATCGAGTTAGCAACAAAATACTTTTTTTCAAAGACGAGGATAGCACGAACACACACTATAAAGATGAACTTAAAAGAGCAAAGAGGATAAAGGTATTTTTTTTTTATGAAATCACTGAAAAGCAAATCACTTTAGAAGCAAAAGAAAGATTTAGAGCTGAAGTATTTAATGTAATATGTGACAATATTACTCAAGACCTTAAAAAGACAATTGAACATTACGAAGAAGTAAAATCAGCGTTTAAATATTTCTTCACCAAGACAAGGAGGAAATCAAAATATCAATTGACATTTTGTGTGAGAAATATAGGAGTGATATTGAAAGAACTGAAGAATATTTACAAAAAGAAATTATTCATTTTCAAGAATAGTGTAAACATTAAACAGAAACACGATTTATGAAAAATTTGAGGTTGTCCAGATGGCGAAAGCACCTTTTCCAAATATTCTAAGTCTATTGTAAATTTATTTAAGCACGCCCATTTCTAACGCGTTGAACGATCTTTTTCGGCCCTAAAAAGATTAAAAACATACTTAAGGTCTAATTTGAGTCAAGAAAACCTTTATGCATTGTCACTATTACATATAGAATATAATGCACTGGAAAAACTTAATAGTGATACTATCATACATCAGTTAGCAGATATTAAGTCACGAAAAAGACTATTGTAATTTTATTATGTTATATCGTAGAATGTTATTTTTAGTTTTACCTTTTTTATGCTATATTTTAGAATGTTGATTTTTATTTTTAATATTTTTTAATGAGAATACTGTTTTGTTTTTTAAATTTTATATATATTTTTACAATAGAAATTAAACATTAAAATTTTGTTTCATTTGTTAATGGTTCCAAGAAACCCTCCTTGAATCTGTCATCGCCAAGGGTCCCAAATGAGCTTAAACTGGTACTGATGTCAGTGATAAAACATCAACTGCCATCATTTTATGCATTTATGATTAGTTATTTTGAAAGCTTGTTCCTCCCTTGAATTAATTTTAAAGAGAAATAAATTATTATTACAGTCAAAAGTCTTTAATCCACACGTCCATAATCCGGAATGATCTATAATTCGGACCTCAAAGCTACAAACTTTCTGCGCATGCGTAAACGCACAATGCGTACAATGCGTTTACGCATGTGCATAATATGTTTACGCATGCGCGTTTAATGTATAATGGACGGTATAAGCTAAGCTGAAATTATCTAATTATCTATTTCCGTTAATGTTGCAGATTGCGTTGTTCCTTAATCTTCGAATTGGATCTGGCTTATTATTTTTTGCAGACTGTTAGAGCAATTTTATAAAAGTAAGCTTGAACTTTCGATTATGTCAAAAAGAATTTCCGATTCTGGAGCTGCGAAAGGATCTACAAAGTGAAAGCATGTTTCGATGTCCATCAAACAAAAAGTAGAATTGCTACAAAAAATGGATAAAGGCATATCCTTTGTTTCTCTAACCATTCCGAAATCTGTTTATCAATTTCACGCTGCTCTGCGGAGGGGGGAAACATCAATGTGCAATGAACTGGAAGCGGATCTGTCAGCACTGTCCTTATCTTAGGGCAGATGTTTTTTTTTTATTCAGCTTATAATTCCTTACTAAATGTAGTATTTCATCTCGATGTACTCCGTCTTTGATATGATTTAAATCAAATTCCTCGTCATTATAAATATCACGAATACACATCAAATAGTTTTCTGGTTGCAATTTTCTAATTTCGACTATGCATAATGTATGCTTTATGCATGCGTGCATTGAAATAAATGTGTAGTAAACTAATGAATATTAAGCTTTTTTTTTTGTAAATATTGATACTCTTTAGATCATAATTGCTCTTTATTTCATAAATTACAGTTTCATATTTTTAATTTTATAATTTCTTCATGCCATCTTAGCAGATTTAAACTGATGATCTATAATCCGGAATTGCCGAAGTCCCGACGAGTCCGGATTAAAGACTTGACTGTATTACAGTTAAGAAAAATGCATGAGGGCATTGTACCCAAGTTTCATTTTCGCTCTGCTTGGGAAAAAAATTAACTCGTGCCTCTTTTCCCACCTTTTGACTTTTCACTGAGACTTTTTTTGTGGAACAGGTATAATATTATTATGTCACCATAGTAAAAAAATGTCTATGACCCAGGACTTGAAACCAACAGTGTGAGAATCAATCTGCTCTGATTACCTATCTGAATTGTCTTTCCTCTGTGGAATTAATTTTATGTGTAGAAAGAAACTAGATCAAAGCAGTGGAAAGTAAGCATGTTAAGCACAGAAAAAAAATATTTTATTGGCAATTTAGTGGGAATTTTCGACATGGCAATTACAGACCTAGTAACTGAACAAGAAAGAATGTTTCATCGCTATTGTTTCAAAGTTTTATCTATGAAAAGTTTTCAAAGGGTATCATTTTCTTTTAATTCCTTCATGAAAATATGTAACCTAAAAGGCACATGCCATTTACACAAATCACATTAACTTGTGAAAAGTATAGGTCAAATAAGTTTTGTATGCATACTGAGGAAAAAAGTGATTCAAAAGATGTTTTAAAGCAAAAGAAAAGTGTGCAATATAGCTCTATTGACAAGTCAAAAAAATATAATGTAATATATTCTAAAAGATAAATTTTATAATGCATAATGATATAAATTATATATAAAATAAATACATAAAACTCTATAATGAATAATGTTCATAACTATATAATAAATGCCAACACACATCACATCATGGTACATAACACTGCTAGGAAAGGAAGGATATTTGATTTGAAATATATTTTTTATATTTATTTGATAATGCAGAAGAGTAAAACATACAGATGATGAAAAGTTATGAAAACAAGTTATGCAACTTAAGAAACAGTAAGAAGCCCTTTAAGTTATTGTAATATCATAAGACACTGATTACCAATGCCAAAACAGATTTATTATGGGTGCCTTTGATGCAAGGTCACACACCAAAAAAAAACTTGATTTAGCAAATTTCTGAAAACAATAAAATCAAAAGTATTACAGTATCATATACATACATGTATATAAGTCCATAATCCGGACTCGTCAGGACTTCGGTGATTCCGGATTATAGATCATCAATTTAAATCTGATAAGGTAGGTGGCATGAAGAAATTATACAATTAAAAATATGAAATGGTAGTTTATGAAATTAAGAACAATTATGATCTAATGGGTATCAAAATTTACAAAAAAAAAAAAGGCTTAATATTTATTTGTTTACTTTATTAAACATTTCTTTCAATGTAAGTTGCTTCGTTTTTCGTGCTAATACTTTCTCTTTAATTCTATAAACAGGCATTCAGTTACAAAGTTCGACTGTTTAAGTCCTGTAATTGCTGTGTTGAGAATACCGACTAACTTGTCAATCGAAATTTTTTCATTTTCAGTAACATCTCTGTCACTTTCTTCACTATCGGAAGCGCGCATTAAACGTGCATGCGTAAAGCATACAAAAAAAAAGTTTGTGGCTTTGAGGTCCGGATTACGGTCTTTGTACTGTATTATTAAATTATTTTAATTACACATTAAGAAAGCAATTGTCTGATAAATTTTAATTTTGACATGAAAACTGAATTAAATCAAGAATGAGTGACTAAGCTTGTACAGCATTTTAAAACATATTTCATGTTTATACATTGGAAATAAATTGAGAGGAATTCCAGTTAAATGAAAGAGCTGGAAATATA